GTGTGGTAGTGTTCACAAAGGGTGATAGTGTTCACACAGTGTGGTAGTATTCACACATTGTGGTAGTGTTCACACTTTGTGGTAGTATTCACACAATGTGGTAGTGTTCACACAGTGTGGTAGTGTTCACACTTTGTGGTAGTGTTCACACAGTGTGTTAGTGTTCACACAGTGTGGTAGTGTTCACACAGTGTGATAGTGTTCACACAGTGTGATAGTGTTCACACAGTGTGATAGTGTTCACACAGTGTGATAGTGTTCACACAGTGTGATAGTGTTCACACAGTGTTGTAGTGTTCACACAGTGTGATAGTGTTCACACAGTGTGATAGTGTTCACACAGTGTTGTAGTGTTCACACAGTGTGATAGTGTTCACACAGTGTGTTAGTGTTCACACAGTGTGATAGTGTTCACACAGTGTGGTAGTGTTCACACAGTGTGATAGTGTTCACACAGTGTGGTAGTGTTCACACAGGGTGGTAGTGTTCACACAGTGTGGTAGTGTTCACACAGTTTGGTAGTGTTCACCCATTGTAGTAGTGTTCACTCATTGTGGTAGTGTTCACACAGTGTGGTAGTGTTCACACAGTGTGGTAGTGTTCACCCATTGTGGTAGTGTTCACCCATTGTGGTAGTGTTCACCCATTGTGTTAGTGTTCACACGTTGTGGTAGTGTGGTAGGGTGGTAGTGCTCACAGTGTGGTATGTATCGAGTATTTTACACTTTATTCAACATTCGTTACACAATGTTCACCACGCCCTCTCGTCCGGCGAACTGACAATTCAGAATATACCAGTTCCGGGGCCCCACTACTGTATCGTTCAGTTCAACCCAACAATCAGGTGAGAGCACGTTACCTCACCCAATCACTCAAAGCAACCACTCGTTGCTTTGAGTGACTCTAGGTTCTCATTATGAGAGGTGTGTATGTCTTGCCCTTGTCTTGCCACCTACGCGACGTAGGCGTTTGGTGACTGCGTATGCTTTGGAAAACTAGCCCAGACTATCTCTCATGTAGCTCATTCAGTTGGCATAGAGTATCAAAGCACTATAACTGATACGCAGTTTCGTGAGTTAATACTGAATAAATTAATGTACGAATTCTAAATTGTGAGTTTTTAGCCGGTGTTACTGGAGCTCTTGTAAGTCTCGGCTCCCAACTTCCCTTTCTGGCTTGTAACGTCTGCCTGACACTTTCCCCAGTTGCAGAAATGTTTGGTGGATTTGGCCTATCTCAGTCAGTCGGCTTCGTTGGCTCTTGAACTGGCGAAAATTTGTCTTGAGAGAACTAGGGAACAACGTGCTTTTGCAAAGGCAGAATATGAAAGCGGGGAGGAGATAATAATGGCTTATTTGTGACGATAATTTCATTGTTCAAAACTCTGTCCTTGGTACCTTGTTTCTCAGTCTGAGCCTGAACAGAGTTTAGTCCTTCAAAAACTAAACTCGAGCTCTGCAATGGGCAGCACGTGTGCATTACAGAGTTGTGAAGGTTACTGTGAGAGGTGCATATGAGTGTATACCTGCCAGATATGGACGAGAGTTTAAGTTGAACAGACGTCAACTTTGGGTAGTCTTGCGTAAACTTCGTTAGGCTCCAGACTTGGACGTTTATCGAGTCGTAGAAGGCAGCTGGTGTCTAACTTTATCGAGTTGGTGCAGTTCATTATTGTCGACAATCTTCTTGAGTTTGCTGGCCAGGAGATGAAGGTCTACGTAGATGATAAGTTCCTAACCGCGAAAGAGGAGCTTAAGTTAGTAGATACCTTTGAAGCTAATAGGGTCGTAAATGAAAGATCCACTAGAATTTCTTCCCACAAGCTTTGTATAGGAGAGAGTTATGATACTCACTTGAAAACCAGAAAGATCTGCACAAGACAAGATTCCCGAGCTAGTATCTGTCACTACTGCCATAAGCCTGGCCACATTAAGTCCAACTGCATAAAACTGCAAAACGGTCTTCCACAAGTGGTAAGTTGAGTTCTCCACAACTCACTAATCAAAGCAACTATAATCAAATATCAGAAGAACAGGATCCTCCTATCAGTGGCTACTTTCCGGGGCGCAGGTTAATATAAATTTATGTAGCTATGAAAAAGCTCATAGACTGATTGAATTTCAAGTCCCGCCTGCGGATGCCTCGGCAGGGCCAGACCAAACGATTTCGCGGGCCGGATGTTTCCCCACCCCTGCTCTTTCGTGTTGCAATCAATGCATCATCAGGAGCTTGTAATGTTGCAGAAATGAGTAGGAGGTCGTCCCAGCAGATTCGCTCAGAGGAACGTTCTTGCTAAGTATAAGGTAGGGAGGAGATGCAAGGAGTGGCAAGTGCCAGAAAGATTGAGTATTATAGGAACAGAGGATAGTCAGCCCACAAAGAAAGGTAATGGAGTTACTACCTAGCGAACTTAACACTGGTGACATGACATTTATCAAAAATTCAGTCAGACATCGGGCTATCATTCAGCTTCCCCTGTGGCTGTTTCGCATATATTATATATATATATATTATATATATATATATATATTATATATATATATATATATATATATATATATATATATATATTATATATTATAATATATATATATATATATATATAATATATATATATATATATATTATATATATATATATATATATATATATATATATATATATATATATATATATATATATATATATATATTATATATATATACTGCTCCTGTCTGCAAATATCTTGGATTTTTTCTAACCTTATTGTCTGCTGTCTCGCTCTGGAACAAATGCTTGGTTTTAAAGATATTCACTAATTTCTAACATTTGGCTGAGCGCTGCCTGCTGGGTTAGACGGCATGAGAGGACCGGCGGTCTCATTGCGTATTTTTTTTCGCCATGGTGGCACGCTACCCATTTGAGAGATGTTTTTCTCCAACCATTAGTGCTCCTGGGGTGAGAGTGTGGCGTGTGCGGAGTATGTTACACTGTATTCGACGTTCGTCATACAACTATCGGCATGCTTTTTCGACCAGCAAACTCGCAATTCAGAATACATCAGTTCTGGGGCCCCTTTACTGTACTTATTGTCCCAGCAATCATGTAAAACACGCTTCCACAGCCAAGGTGACCTTCCACCTGTCTGCCTGACTGGAGAGGCAGATTTACTTTTCAACTTTGCTTGAAACCACTCGTTGCTCTCAGTGTTTCTTGGTTGTCTCGTTATTAACCTGCTAGATTAAGATATTACTCTTGTTAATATTTTTACAAGGATTAAGGAACTTAGTCCTTGCACTTGTCATGCTACAGGTCTTGAATTGTTACCCGTGTTCTTAATACACAGGATGGTAGTGTTCACGCAGGATGGCAGTGTTCACGTAGGATAGTAATGTTCACGCAGGATGGTAGTGTTATCGCAGGATGGTAGTGTTATCGCAGGATGGTAGTGTTATCGCAGGATGGTAGTGTTCACGCAGGATGGTAGTGTTATCGCAGGATGGTAGTGTTCACGCAGGATGGTAGTGTTCACGCAGGATGGTAGTGTTATCGCAGGATGGTAGTGTTCGCGTAGGATGGCAGTGTTCACGTAGGATGGTAGTGTTCACGCAGGATGGTAGTGTTCACGCAGGATGGTAGTGTTCACGTAGGATGGTAGTGTTCACGCAGGATAGTAGTGTTCACGCAGGATGGTATTGTTCATGCAGGTTGGAAGTGTTCACGCAGGATGGTAGTGTTCACGCAGAATGGTAGTGTTCAGGCAGGATGGTAGTGTTCACGCAGGATGGTAGTGTTATCGCAGGATGGTAGTGTTCACGCACGATGGTAGTGTTCACGCACGATGGTAGTGTTCACGCAGGATGGTAGTGTTCACGCAGGATGGTAGTGTTCACGCAGGATGGTAGTGTTCACGCAGGATTGTAGTGTTCACGCAGAATGACAATGTTCACACAGGATGGTAGTGTTCACACCATCCACTTCCCTTTATTACACAGCTCAAGGAAAATTCTCCTCGAAGGATCTTTACTTAAGGAGAATCCCATCAGATAATCTCCAGTGGAACTTTACTCGACGGTAAGTTCTCCCTAATGGAAAGGTGTCACCCTCAAGGCCAGTCGCCCTTCTATGAAGGTCTCTCCCTACTAATTCACCAGCATAACTTCCCACTAGACTTCAGAGCAATTTGACATCTATTCTTAAAAAAAAATTGGATTTCTTAGGCTTTGTGAAAGTCACTTTTAATTAAATCAAAGAATTCATAGGCCTTATGTCAAGGATTCCTGTAGTAAACTCAGGCAGAAACTGGTGACTATGTTTAGCTTATCCACATGATCTGACGGTGCTGAGACTCCTAGCGCACCTCTCGTGCTAAGAATGACCTCTGACCCTTAGGGTCAGAGGTCATACTTAGCACGACGTGATACTCCTAAGCTGGAGTATTATTTTCAATTCCTCCGTGGTGCAATGATTGAGGGTTACACAGACAATGTTAGGACTCTCACATCATAGGTTAGACCCCTTCAACTCATTGAATATCTTTTCTTAGAGATCTTTCTCAGAAAGCTATAAAAGATTGCTTTCTCACTAGGCTATAAAAATGATTTTTCTCACCAGGTTGTAAGAGATGAACCGAGGAGTGACTGAAGATAAAATTATCTGTTTGAGTTACTCCCTCTCTCTCTCATTTTGCTGCATTTGTCTTACTGTGTTACTTTTCCTTCGTTGCTTCCTCTCTCTAACTGGCTTTCATCTATCTCTCCCTATGTGTATTTTTTCCCCGCTCTCACACACCTGCATCTGTTACAAACTCATTATCTCTCGTCCCTTTTCTCAGCACCTATCATAGCACCTCCCTCTCTCTCAGCCCTTCCTTCCCCTCAGCATCTCCCCACCATCATGAGCTCCTCCCAATACCTGCTCTCTCAGCGCCTTCCCCTCTCTCAGTACCTCTCCCTCTCTGAGCACCTGCTGCCCCTCTCTCAGCACCTGCTTCCCCTCACACTTCCCCTCTCAGCACTTACCATGGAGTTCTCGTTGATTGAGTCAATTCCCATGACAGTGACGTGGAAATACACACGGGTGGGTCTACCCTCCTTCTTGGGCGGCCGCATCTTGTCGTAATCCCTGGGATTCTCTGGTAGCAGGTCCTTGAAGCTCAGCACGCCTCCTGACTCATCCGTGCTGCTGCTGCTGCTAGGACACAGGCAGGCACAGGTCAGACATTGGTTGGTGACATTAGAGGAAAGACAGACAAGGAGAGACATGATAACAACATACAAAATACTCAGATGTTGTAGGCAGGGATAGACTGAGAGACGAGAAACAGGTTTTCACGGGGGCAAAGTTGCAAGGCTTGATATCTGTCCCACTAGCTTAGTGTTTGTCCCACTGGCTTAGCGTCTGTCCCACTGGCTTAGTTTGTGTCCCACTGATTGTTTGTCTGCTCCGCTAGCTTAGTGCCTATTGTTGCTATAGGTGTTAGTGAACACGTTGGTTGTGTTAATGTTACCACAGGTGTTAGCGAGCACAATGGTCTCTGTGGAGATATGTCATGAGAGGTGCCTCAAGGATCTGTACTCAACCCAATAATATATGTAAATGAGTTAACAAAAGGAATGGAAAACTATACGAGTATGCTTAAGGACGATTAGAAAAATATTATGTAAAACAAAAAAAAACTGAGCACATGGATGGATGATGGAATTTATTGTAGATAAATTCCACATAATGGAAATGAGAGACAGAGAGAGACAGATCAAGTCACATTAAGAATATAAACTGTGATAAAAATATTAAATGAATCAGAGAGAGAGAGAGAGAGAGAGAGAGAGAGAGAGAGAGAGGAGAGAGAGAGAGAGAGAGAGAGAGAGAGAGAGAGAGAGAGAGAGAGCTCTAGGAGTTATTATTAACAAAGAAGTATGTCTGGCAGATCATGTAAAGGAAACTGTGTGAAACTTATACAAATCACTGGCGAGTTATAAAACAGTATTAAGATATTTAGATAGTAAAAATGCTGGAAAATCTTTGAAAACATATGTTATGTCAACACTGAAATATTCAGCATCTGTGGGGTGTCCACATGCAAAGAACAACACCTGTATTAGTTACAAAAGGTCCATAGAAAAGCTACAAAATGACTGCCAAAGTTAATAAATAAATGTAACAATGACAAACTGAGAATAATGGAAGTGCCCAAACTGGATGACTGGAGGAAAAGGAGAGACATGATAACCACATTTAAGATCATAAAATAACGTGAAATAGATAAAGATTTCTTGGTACCTGCAGCAGGAACAACAAGAGGATTTCTTGGTACCTGCAGCAGGAACAACAAGAGGATTTCTTGGTACCTGCAGCAGGAACAACAAGAGGATTTCTTCGTACCTGCAGCAGGAACAACAAGGGGATTTCTTGGTACCTGCAGCAGGAACAACAAGAGGATTTCTTGGTACCTGCAGCAGGAACAACAAGAGGATTTCTTGGTACTTGAAGCAGGAACAACAAGAGGATTTCTTGGTACCTGCAGCAGGAACAACAAGAGGATTTCTTCGTACCTGCAGCAGGAACAACAAGAGGATTTCTTGGTACCTGCAGCAGGAACAACAAGAGGATTTCTTGGTACCTGCAGCAGCAACAACAAGAGAATTTCTTGGTACCTGCAGCAGGAACAACAAGAGGATTTCTTGGTACTTGCAGCAGGAACAATAAGAGAATTTCTTGGTACCTGAAGCAGGAACAACAAGAGGATTTCTTGGTACCTGCAGCAGGAACAACAAGAGGTTTTCTTGGTACCTGCAGCAGGAACAGCAAGAGGATTTCTTGGTACCTGAAGCAGGAACAACAAGAGGATTTCTTGGTACCTGCAGCAGGAACAATAAGAGAATTTCTTGGTACCTGCAGCAGGAACAACAAGAGGTTTTCTTGGTACCTGCAGCAGGAACAACAAGAGAATTTCTTGGTACCTGCAGCAGGAACAACAAGAGGATTTCTTGGTACTTGCAGAAGGAACAATAAGAGAATTTCTTGGTACCTGCAGCAGGAACAACAAGAGGATTTCTTGGTACCTGCAGCAGGAACAATAAGAGAATTTCTTGGTACCTGCAGCAGTAACAACAAGAGGTTTTCTTGGTACCTGCAGCAGGAACAACAAGAGAATTTCTTGGTACCTGCAGCAGGAACAACAAGAGGATTTCTTGGTACCTGAAGCAGGAACAATAAGAGGATTTCTTGGTACCTGCAGCAGGAACAACAAGATAATTTCTTGGTACCTGCAGCAGGAACAACAAGAGGATTTCTTGGTACCTGCAGCAGGAACAACAAGAGGGTTTCTTGGTACCTGCAGCAGGAACAACAAGAGGATTTCTTGGTACCTGCAGCAGGAACAACAGTAGGATTTCTTTGTACCTGCAGCAGGAACAACAAGAGGATTTCTTGGTACCTGCAGCAGGAACAACAAGAGGATTTCTTGGTACCTGCAGCAGGAACAACAAGAAGCCGAAGGAAAACGGGAATTTTTCTCTTGGCAAAACACAGTAGTTCATCACTGAAATGACTTCACAGAGGAGGTAGTAAGTACTGTGTGTAAGTTCGGGATGTACCCTTTTTAAGGGACCCGGAGCTAGATCCTGAAATTTAGTCATAGCGGGATATTCTCTACTACTGTGAAGCATCAGCATTTATCTGTAGCTGTTGTAGCTACAGCAAGGTTATTAACTGTAAAGAGGTTATTACCTGGCATGTGTTGATGCGAGGAGTGAGGCAGCCAGCATGAGTCTTGAGGTCACACACATCATCCTCCCCACTATTAAGCTCTGCGATGGCACTTTGACGGTGCTACGACGGCTGAGTGGGCGCTGAGAGGGCTGATGAGAGGGCCGAGTGAGCGCTGAGAGGGCTGAGTGGACCCTGAGGTGGGGGCCACAGAGTGGTGGCCCAGCGTGGCTCAAAACACCCACTCGTGAGTGTGTCCTGAGGGAGGGAGGAAGGATAATATTACTATGTGACTGAGAAACGCTAAATCCGTAGGGGCTATACAGCCCCTACAGTTCCTAGTAAGGAACTGTAACTCCGACTCCATGGATCAGGAGCACTTCACCAGCCTTAAGGCACTTCCACTATGACAAATAGTATTAGTACACTATTTAGCTGGGCATCGAACCGGCGTCCTGGATAACGAAGTGTATCATCTTAACCACCTATCCACCATTTCTAAGTGTCAACGGAAAAGATATTACTGAAGCAGATACAGAAGAGGTCTACACATCTGAGCCTCAGAGATTATATTGAGCAGATCAGCTGACGGAGGTCTCTGAGAGTTAAGGACACTGTTCTCATTTGAACTGAGGTTCACTTCTCTGTCCATGTGTCTTCTCACTTTTTCATGGATATGTGTATCTGATGTAACACTTTAATCAAAGTATTTATGAATTTATATATATATATATATATATATATATATATATATATATATATATATATATATATATATATATATATATATATATATATAATATATATATATATATATATATATATATATATATATATATATATATATATAAGAATGACATATCATTGTTCAGAGATTTAGGGAACTTAGATGTTGAAGCAATAAACAAGTGTTTATGGAGTGTTGGAGGCAGGTTGTTGGTTACTTAGAAGATTAACCAGTTATATACGCGTTACCATTTGTCTTAAACCCGGGTGGAGACGCTTGTTCTGGTACCCAAAGAAATAAACCACCACCACTACAACTACCACCACCACTACAACCACCACCACCACTACAACCACCACCACCACTACAACCACCACCACCACTACAACTACCACCACCACTACAACCACCACCACCACTATAACCACCACCACCACTACAACTACCACCACCACTATAACCACCACCACCACTATAACCACCACCACCACTACAAACACCACCACCACCACTACAAACACCACCACCACTACAATATAGGGACAAAACAAACCAGTGAACTGGGCTCAGTTTGAGCGCAACTTTAATATCAACAACGCTCGTCACACCACACAATTGGGCGCAGTTAGACCTAACATTTACTAACATCAGCGCAGGTGAAGCGTAAATTTCCAGGCCAACTTTTGTGAATACTCCTGATGAATGTTTGACCCTCATTTATTACTGTCATAATCTGAGGAACTGCAGTGTGTGTACTCACCTAATTGTGGTTGCAGGGGTCGAGACTCAGCTCCTGGCTCCGCCTCTTCACTGATCGCTACTGGGTCCTCTCTCTCTCTGCTTCCTGAGCTTTGTCATACCTCTTCTTAAAACTATGTATGGTTCCTGCCTCCACTACTTCACTTGCTAGGCTATTCCACTTGCTGATAACTCTATGACTGAAGAAATACTTCCTAACGTCCCTGTGACTCGTCTGAGTCTTCAGCTTCCAGTTGTGACCCCTTGTCCCTGTGTTCCCTCTCTGGAACATCCTATCTCTGTCCACCTTGTCTATTCCCCGCAGTATCTTGTATGTCGTTATCATGTCTCCCCTGACCCTTCTGTCCTCCAGTGTCGTCAGTCCGATTTCCCTTAACCTTTCCTCGTACGATATTCCCTTGAACTCTGGGACTAGCCTTGTTGCAAACCTTTGTACTTTCTCTAACTTCTTGACGTGCTTGACCAGGTGTGGGTTCCATACTGGTGCTGCATACTCCAGTATGGGCCTAACATACACAGTGTACAGTGTCTTGAACGATTCCTTATTAAGGTATCGGAACGCTATTCTCAGGTTTGCCAGGCGCCCATATGCTGCAGCAGTTATTTGGTTGATGTGTGCCTCCGGTGATGTGCTCGGTGTTATGGTCACCCCAAGGTCTTTCTCCCTGAGTGAGGTCTGTAGTCTTTGACCACCTAGCCTATACTCTGTCTGCGGTCTTCTTTGCCCCTTCTTAATCTTCATGACTTTGCATTTGGCTGGATTGAATTCGAGAAGCCAGTTACTGGACCACATGTCCAGCCTGTCCAGGTCTCTTTGCAGTCCTGCCTCATCCTCGTCCGATTTAATTCTTCTCATCAACTTCACGTCATCTGCGAACAGGACACTTCAGAGTCTATTCCTTCCATCATGTCGTTCACATATATCAAAAATAGCACTGGTCCTAGAACTGACCCCTGTGGGACCCCGCTCGTAACAGGCGCCCACTGTGATACCTCTTCACGTACGTACCATGACTCGTTGCTGCCTCCCTGTCAGGTATTCCCTTATCCATTGCAGTGCCCTCCCTTTTACATGCGCCTGATCCTCCATCTTCTGCACTAATCTCTTGTGGGGAACTGTGTCAAAGGCCTTCCTGCAGTCTAGGAAAACGCAATCTACCC